GTTGACACTGTGTCACTATCAACAGTTGACACTGTGTCACTATCAACAGTTGACACTGTGTCACTATCAACAGTTGACACTGTGTCACTATCAACAGTTGACACTGATTAAGTGTGTTATGTTAGTTTCATTTTACCAATGTTTATGTTGTTTTCCTTATGTTAAAGAATAGGTGTTTTTTGTAGCATTGGAGCTTCATGATAAATTATTAAAACATTAAGAATAACCACTGCATTGTTTATTGGATTGATTTATTTCGTTGTGACGAGTGTTCTTTCTGTGATGAGTGTTCTTTCTGTGATGAGTGTTCTTTCTGTGATGAGTATTCTTTCTGTGATGAGTGTTCTTTCTATGATGAGTGTTCTTTCTGTGATGAGTGTTCTTTCTGTGATGAGTGTTCTTTCTGTGATGAGTGTTCTTTTTTTTAAGGTTTAATTGGTCTGAAAAGTTTTTCCTGACCTTTGATTGCTTTATTGGTTAATTATGTCGATGACGTGGTAGAGGTTTTCATTTTTTGGGGGGTTACCCACATTAAACAATCAGAAAATAGAAGCCCTAATCGTGTGACAAAAATGTACCTAAACATTTCTCTCACCCATGTTGTCAGTGTCAGTGTTAGTCAAACAAACAAAGCGTGTTCATGGAAAGAGTAAACCATGGTAACCGTACCCTGTAAAGGATTCATTCCCTTTGCTAAAGAATCAAACATTTACCCCCACTAAAGGGCTCAAATAAAATATATGCCCAATGAATCGCTCAAATAAAACATATGCACAATGAATTACTCAAATAAAATATATGCCCAATGAATCGCTCAAATAAAACATATGCACAATGAATTACTCAAATAAAATATATGCCCAATGAATCGCTCAAATAAAATATATGCCCAATGAATCACTCAAATAAAACATATGCACAATGAATCACTCAAATAAAATATATGCCCAATGAATCGCTCAAATAAAATATATGCCCAATGAATCACTCAAATAAAAAATATGCCCAATGAATCACTCAAATAAAATATATGCACAATGAATCGCTCAAATAAAATATATGCCCAATGAATCGCTCAAATAAAACATATGCACAATGAATTACTCAAATAAAACATATGCACAATGAATTACTCAAATAAAATATATGCACAACGAATCGCTCAAATAAAATATATGCCCAATAAATCACTCAAATAAAACATATCCACAATGAATTACTCAAATAAAATATATGCCCAATGAATCACTCAAATAAAAAATATGCCCAATGAATCACTCAAATAAAATATATGCACAATGAATCGCTCAAATAAAATATATGCCCAATGAATCGCTCAAATAAAACATATGCACAATGAATTACTCAAATAAAACATATGCACAATGAATTACTCAAATAAAATATATGCCCAATGAATCGCTCAAATAAAACATATGCACAATGAATTACTCAAATAAAATATATGCCCAATGAATCGCTCAAATAAAATATATGCCCAATGAATCACTCAAATAAAACATATCCACAATGAACTACTCAAATAAAATATATGCCCAATGAATCACTCAAATAAAACATATGCACAATGAATTACTCAAATAAAATATATGCCCAATGAATCGCTCAAATAAAATATATGCCCAATGAATCACTCAAATAAAAAATATGCCCAATGAATCGCTCAAATAAAATATATGCCCAATGAATCACTCAAATAAAACATATGCACAATGAATCACTCAAATAAAATATATGCCCAATGAATCGCTCAAATAAAATATATGCCCAATGAATCACTCAAATAAAAAATATGCCCAATGAATCACTCAAATAAAATATATGCACAATGAATCGCTCAAATAAAATATATGCCCAATGAATCGCTCAAATAAAATATGTGCCCAATGAATCACTCAAATAAAATATATGCACAATGAATCGCTCAAATAAAATATATGCCCAATGAATCACTCAAATAAAACATATCCACAATGAATTACTCAAATAAAATATATGCCCAATGAATCGCTCAAATAAAACATATGCACAAATCACTCAAATAAAATATATGACCAATGAATCACTCAAATAAAATATATGCCCAATGAATCACTCAAATAAAATATATGCCCAATGAATCACTCAAATAAAATATATGCACAACGAATCGCTCAAATAAAATATATGCCCAATGAATCACTCAAATAAAATATATGCACAATGAATCATTCAAATAAAATATATGCCCAATGAATCACTCAAATAAAATATATGCACAATGAATCGCTCAAATAAATTATATGCCCAATGAATCGCTCAAATAAAATATATGCCCAATGAATCACTCAAATAAAATATATGCACAATGAATTACTCAAATAAAATATATGCCCAATGAATCGCTCAAATAAAATATATGCCCAATGAATCGCTCAAATAAATTATATGCCCAATGAATCACTCAAATAAAATATATGCCCAATGAATCGCTCAAATAAATTATATGCCCAATGAATCGCTCAAATAAAATATATGCCCAATGAATCACTCAAATAAAATATATGCACAATGAATTACTCAAATAAAATATATGCCCAATGAATCACTCAAATATAGGAATGTTAGGAATGTCTTCTTGACATACCGTAATATCATCGTTCATATAGGATTGATAGCCCATAAACATGCATCGACCTTTCTACTTAACTTTTTGTTTTCATTTTGACTTTGTTAAATATTGGAAATAATTAGCAAAGGTAATTATTTCACGTAAGTTGATTATTATAATTATTTTATTTTCATTTGTGTTCAACATGCCAAATGATGTTGGCAGTGCTTTTTGTGATGGAAACGTTTTTTTTTTTTTCATTCATTCTTAACTATGTAGTTAACCCCCTAAAAAGGTTTAAATAAAAAAAATAAAAATAAAAGCCACGTTACTATTTAGTAATATTAAAAAAAAAACGTTTGCAAGACATTAACAGAAGCAAGTCAAGCAGAGCCATGGCTCGACTTTTTCGAGGCCCTTTTTTTCTCCACTTTTTGGCTTAGTCCTCCATGACCTTGCATTGAAAGATGATTAATAAGACAATATCGACATCACATCTTTAAGCTGTAATATATCCCGAGGCCCACTGCAATCGTAAGGATTGCTGGGCTCACACGATGTTTCTAAGGTTAAGTGACACCTACATTTTTTTTCGTTGGTCTTCAAGTGTAGCATGTTGCAAAACTAAAATTAAGGTATTTGCTAAAAAGTATTCCTTCATTTTGAATTTATCAAAACATTTGCAGGGGACAATCAAGATTTAATGGGCGATATTAAGCTAGGGAATAAGCACACCCTCAAGGACGCCACCATTGGAATGAATTTAGTTCATGCCCCACAGAAGCGGCGTTAAGCTTGTCTTTGATCATTATGATGGTTGAGTTTGGCGCTTCCCACGAGAAAGTTTGAAATGCGACCTCAAAATTGTCTGAAAGAAACACCGAATTCAAGTATGCGCCAAAATGCATCCCTGCATTTTGAATTTGCACGACCGTCTTCAGGACCCTCAGTTTCTAGACCCATTTCCCCAACGCCGATCAATGTTACAGTATAGGGTTGAATATAAGCTTGTGCCAAACGGTGACCCCCTGGCACGCCAAAGCTGGATTGAATTCAGTTTATGTCTGGCGCTGGCATTATAATTCCTACCCATACCCTTAAAATTTCTTTTCCCTGATCAAAAAGTCTGATTGAAACATTAAATTCAAATACATGCACAATGCACATCTTGAATTTAAAATAATTGTTTAAAATCCTGGGATCATCTCGGCCCTGTGCTTTCCTTTCTAGTGGCTTCCAGGTGTATCCCATACTTTGTGTGTCTGCCTCTAGCTCCATGTATTCTTTCTCCTTCCTCTTTTATTTATCCCTGTGGATTTCATGTTATGGATTGTCTGGTGGTGTTATCTTTGGGTTTGTGGAGAGTGTGCACCTCCATCTTTTCCTTATGACGTTTTCAGCAATAGGCTCCTTGTATGTCCTTTCTTGTAAGTCTTTGTTTGTGATGTGTTAGAGCATTTATTGCGTAGTGCTCGCTATTGTTCTACAAGTTTCGGCTCCATTAAGTAGGACTGTCTTGACATTTATGTTAAAAATTCTGACTTCGTTTTGAAGAGTCAGCTCCTTACTCCCACATTTTCTTTAAAAGCACACATTGCTGACCCAGCCTTTCTAAATAAAATCAAGATTCATCGGCGCCTCGATTTCTACCCTACACCCCGATGAAAATGATCGCTTATTTTGGTGACGATTTATAAACCTCCTAGAGGCGTAGCTAATATTAGTGCCACCATGGGGGAGTGTTTGGAGTCAGTGTATATGATTTATTTTACGCCTCCTACCCCCCCCCCTTTTTCTATCGCAGAAACTATCTTTTTTCCATTAATACCTTCAAAGCCCATTTTGGTGCCCCCTCTAATATGGCGCTCTGGGTCGTATGTCCCATCTGACACCTTTTAGATACGCCTCTGGCCACCACCCACTGGCACTGCCCCCTCCCTCCAAAAAAAAAATCTGAAGTGCCCCCCGCCCCCCGGCGTGCTGCTTACATTCCATGTACATTGTTGGTACAGTACTGCTTACGTAGATCTACATTTTGGTACAATACTGCTTATTACATGTACATTGTTAGTACAGTGCTGCTTACATTACATGTGCATTGTTGGCACAGTGCTGCTTAAATTAAATGTACATTATTAGTACAGTGCTGCTTACATTACATGTACATTGTTGGCATAGTGCTGCTTACATTACATGTACATTGTTAGTACAGTGCTGCTTACATTACATGTACATTGTTGGCACAGTGCTGCTTACATTGCATGCACATTGTTTACATAATAAAGTGGGTGCGTTGCCAACCATTACTCGACTTCGTGGGTTTATTTTAAAAAATATTAATCACTTTTAAATATATATAATCTCAAAACAAAAAAAGGAGAGGGTGGAAGGTTGTACTCTTTATTTTGCTAAGTCCATCCGTTTTACATCATTAATGAAATCTTCATAAACTGGCCTCTCCACAGGCCGATAACCTTGAAATATAATTTGTATCAATACTTGACTTCCCTGGCAGACTTGGGACCAAGGCTTGACTTCCCTGACCAGACTTGGGACTACTTCTTGAGTTCTCTGGCAGACTTGAGACTATTGCTTGAGTTCTCTGGCCAGACTTGGGACAACGGCTTGATTTCCTGGGCAAGACTTGGGACAACTGCTTGACTTCCTGGGCCAGACTTGGGACTACTGCTTGACTTCCTGGGTAAAACTTGGGACTACTGCTTGACTTCCCTTGCAGACTTGGGACAACTGCTTGACTTCCTGGGCCTGACTTGGGGCTACTGCTTAACTTCCTGGGTCAGACTTGGGACTACTGCTTGACTTCACGGGTCAGACTTGAGACTACTGTTGGACTTCCTGGACCAGACTTGGGGCCATTGATTGACTTCCCTGAGCCAGACTTGGGATTACTGCTAGAATTCCCGGGCCAGACTTGGAGACCGCGGCTTGACTTCCTGGGCCAGACTTGGAGACCACAGCTTGACTTCCATGACCAAACTCCTCGTTCTCCCACTAGAAAGCCTTGGCGACAAACTTGATGAAGATGATTAAGCCAATGAGCACGGCCAGGTAGACGATGACACACGTGACGTAGTAGTAAAGGCGCTCAAATATGCGTGGGGCGCTCCAGTAGTCCACCACACGGAACGCAATGCCCAACGCCTCCACGAGAATTCGATAGCAGCAAAAGACGAGGATGTACATGAGGGATGTCGGGAAAATCAAGACGGCGATAAAGAGCTCAATAAGCCTGGGAACAGACATTGGTCAAATTTATTAGATTGTTTAATAAGTTGCTGAATTGTTGTTGTTGGTACTATTTGGGTTTTGAGTTGTTGTTTTAGGTAAATGGTGGGGAGTTGATCGGAGGGATAAAACTCACTCAAATCGTTTCAAACGTTCGTTCTCTTGTCAAGGAGGAATTTGTTAATGGGTTTTTTTTTTAAAACATTTATTCGGAGAATTAGTTAACGCGGATAATTAGATAACTTTATTCATCGAGTATGTTCCCTTCAATCATCAAGTAGGACCCCTTCAATCATCAAGTAGGACCCCTTTAATCATCAAGTAGGACCCCTTCAATCATCATGTAGGACCCCTTCAATCATCAAGTAGGACCTTTTCATTCATAAAGGAGGACGTCTTCAATCATCAAGTAGGACCCCTTCAATCATACAAGAACCAAGAGTCCAAACACATCCGCCCCCCTCGATCAATCCTCACAGATCAGCTGTCCAAACCCTTCGGAAAATTTAGCTTCGACAATTTAAATATTTATTGGTTTTGTATGTGCCCCTGACCCGACCAGGTGCCAAAACATCTTAAGATACGTCACATAATGCACACAGCTCTCACAGTTAAATAGAACTATAATAGATGGTTTCAATATAAATCTCCATAAAGTTTAAAATGTAATTACATACACTGGAGTGCCCTTTTGACCACTCACCAACCCACCATGGTGCACTCACATAATGCTGAGCCGAGTTGCCAGATAAAAAAATTACCTACACACATTTTAACTCTTCATAACTTTCACGGACAAAAATTGTTTACGGGCGCAGTTTTAATACAAATTTTTAAAACAAAGTGGCACAAAACAAATTAAAATCTTCGTGCTGTATAATTATATGTCATTGTCAAGTATTTCAATCTATGTCCTTTATCATATGACATAAAATCCTCTGTTTTGTGGCGACAGATTTGTCATTGTTATCGGTGCTTATTTCCCCCGGCTTATGGTCCCACGAGTTTAAAGCAATGAGAAAATATCAGAAAATGCTGAGAACTCTGGTTCTGTTTCTTTTCGAAAGCGCAAAGGTCGATTTCTTATTTTTCACAAACACTATAAAGTTCCTATGGACTTTTAGGGAAAAGTCATTTTATGTCAAATATTGTTCGGACTGGTCTATAAAGTTATAGACGATAGGCAAACCTGTTGAGAGGCCTTAGGCAAGACTTCTTCAGGGGATATTTGAGACAGGTGGACAGGGTACTAGTTGGCAAACCTGTTGAGAAGCTTTAGCCAAGACTTGTTCAGGAGATATTTGAGAGAGGTGGACAAGGTACTAGTTGGAAAAACTGTTGAGAAGCCTTACCTAAGACTTTTTCAGAAGATATTTGAGACAGGTGGACAATTTACTATGAATAAATAAAATCAAGTCTCATGATGTCAAGGATGAAATGAAAGTCAAAGGACACTAAATATTAAATGGATAGAAAGATGGTTGAAGTTTTAAAATAGATCATTCGGCTGGCTCGAGGGGTGTCAAAGCCTGAGTTCAGCTCAACTGAGAAAATTCAAATAGTACATAGCTTACCGGAGGATAGGGCAGCTTACCTGAGTATAGTATAGCTTACATGAGGATAGTACAGCTTACCTGAGGATAGTTCAGCTTACCAGAGGATAGTACATCTTACCAGATGATAATAAAGCTTACCTGAGGATATTACAGCTTACCTGAAGATAGAAAAACTTACATGAGAATAGTACAGCTTACCTGAGGATAATACAGTTTACCTGAGGATAGAAAAGCTTACTTGTGGATAGTACAGCTTACCTGAGATAATACAGCTTACCTGAGGACAGAAAAGCTCACCTGAGTATAGTACAGCTTACCCGAGGATAGTTAAGCTTACCAGAGGATAGCACAGCTTACCTGAGGAGGGTCAAATTGATGACCACGTCAAAATCTAACTTGTCCTCGACTATGGCTCGGATGATCTCGAAGGTGAAGGGCACAACTAAAATCATGGCGAAGATTAGCGGGATGGTTTCTATGGTGATAATCTCTACCATGGCGGCAGCAGCAGACGACTCTGAAGTCACTTGAAAACTCTAAGTATATTTAAATTCGGAGTGGATCGCCAGCCTTTTCTCACACACATAAATTCCAAATCTTAGCTTTTCTTCATCAACGACATCAGATCTACATCTCACCAGAGGAAAGATTCAAAGTAAATGTTTGCATCGGGAAATTTTTGTTTTTTAGGCAACTTCACAGACAGTCTGCGTAAGATATGTGCTGAGTTTCACCAGTGTAGTAAAGATGTACACGGAGAGAATAATCCTCCATAGTATGACTGGAGGGAATGTTCTTGCGTCAGCACCGCAGCTCGACCTGCATCGGATTGGTCAGCGTGGAACCGTGGTTAGATGGGTTGGTCGAAAAGTTGGGTTTTAGTTGGCGAAACCAACAACTTGAAATCTCTGCTTGGTTCAAGATTGATTTATGGTTGGTTTATGGTTGATTTATGCCAGCACTTGTTGACACGGTTGATGGCTTGGGAACTTGATACCACAAACAAGGATGGGCACAAGACTAACCTATCTTGTTGCGTGTCTGCAGTAGCGGTAGTAGCAGTGGTGATAGTAGACTCTATTACATGTTTAGATCGTGTTCTTCATTTCTGCACTAATGGTGGAGGATTCCATGACATCACGGTCCCGGAAGCAAAAGCGATTTATTATGTTGCGTTTGCATCCTAACTTTAGCCTTTGCACCAAAGTGCATCGGAATGTAGTTGGTGTGCAGATTTGATGAAGTCTTCAAAAATGAGACGCGCAAAAAAGAATACATGTTTGAAATTTTTGTTAGTATTTTTTTTTATAGTTGAAAGCAACTATTATATAATCATCACAGGTTGTTAGCTTTGAGTTTTGTTTGTTCGATTAATACACTATAAACTATAAATAAATTGTTTAACTTTAAATGTTTAGGTCACATAAACATACTTGCAGGTGTGCCCCTCAGATGAAGTAGAAAGTGGAACACAGACATAAATATTTAAACGCCTTTCCAAACATTCGTGTGAAAGCGTGGAATGGATTTGATTGAGAAACAAAACATTTGTATTGGGTTTAGCGTTCAAGAATTTCTGGGGCAAATCATTGCCCCGGTGATCTCATCATTCTGTACCTCAGGAACTGCACTGCTAAAATAGAATTATGCTCTATAATGTTTGACCTAGTATCATCTTCTTCTTCTTCATTTTGAGGTAGCGACCGACCGAAAGTGATTTTCTGATTTCGGTCGAAGCCGAAAATAGGCCGAACGTTTAAAATGACTTTTGGCCGAAACCGAAACCGAAGTCGAAACCGAAAATGAAATACCTAGATATTTTGAGAATCGTTCCCGCATACTTTCCACATACATCGAAAATGATGGGAGAAAGTATAAACATTTTAAATTTTTTTTATGAAAAATGAGATAATCGTGAATATTAATAAATAAACATATAAAATAACACCTTGTTCTTAAAGATCGTTTAGTTTGTTATTAAAAATCGTTTATTTTGTTTTTTAAGATCGCTTAGTTTGTTCTTAAAGATCGCTTAGTTTTAGTTTAAAGATCTTTTAGTTTGTTATTAAAGATCATTTAGTTTGTTCAAAAAAGATCGTTAAGTTTTTTCTGAAAGATTGCTAAGTTTGTGTTATTAAAAGATCGTTTAGTTTGTTCATAAAGATGACTAAGTTTGTTCTTAAAGATCATTGATTTTGTTCTTAAATATCGCTTAGTTGTTCTTAAAGATCATTCAGTTTGTTCTTAAAGGTCATTTAGATTGTTTGTATAAATATTTTAGTTTGTTATTAAAATCGTTTAGTTTGTTCTTAAAGATCGCTTATTTTGTTGTTCAAGATCCCTTGGTTTTTTCATAAAGATCTTTTAATTTGTTCCTAAAGAACATTTAGTTTTTTGTTAAAGATCACTTAGTTTATTCTTATAAATCATTTAGTTTACTATTAAAGATCATTTGTTTTGTTCTTAAAGATCACTTAGTTCGTTCTTAAAATTCGCTTAGTTTGTTCTATAAGATCGTTTAGTTTTTTTATTAAAGATCACTTTATTTGTTTTTAAAGATCACTTTATTTGTTCTTAAAGATCGTTTAGTTTGTTGTTAAATATCGCTTCTGCTGTGAATTAGATGACCGAAAACCTCAGTCACTTTCGGACGGATGGCCGAAAGTTTAAGTCAATTTCGGCCGAAACTGAAAAAAAACGAAAGTTAACTTTTCTCTTTCGGCCAAAACCGAAACTTGGCCGAAAGTGATAAAATTGCCACTTTCGGCGCCTAAGCCGAAATTTTTTCGGTCTCTATTTTGAGGGCCCACGATCAATGAATTGATCATTCTGGCTCATATCCTATCATCTTATCCACACCCTGTGTTGTTGTCATCCCTAGTGGTAGCTCAAAGTCTCATCTTATCCACACCCAATGGTGTTGTATCCCTAGTGGTAGCTCAAAGTGTCATCTCATCCCCATACAACTGTCTAGTTATCATCCCTAGTGGTAGCTCAAAGTGTCATTTTTATCCACATTCAATGTTGTTGTATCCCTAGTGGTAGCTCAGTTTCATCTCATCGCCATACAACTATCTGGTTGTCATCCCTAGTGGTAGCTTAAAGTGTCATCCCATCTCCACCAATCTAAAGACCATTACCAGACCTTACGCAGGATGCTCGATAACTGTTATTTCAAGTATATCAGCCGCCATTTTAATGTGACCTCGTGCTCAGCTCAACTTCTAGTGACGTCATGTATGATAGGGACCAGACTTTGACGTCACTAATTTCCCAGTTATTTTTTTTTTTTACGCATTTTTTTTTTAATAACGTTTATCTTTGAAAATAACATACAAGACTTGAAGTGGCCCAAGAAATGTTATACAGGACATGTCAAAGAAAGCTAACACTGGAATTGTCAAAGAAAGGTAACACTGGAATTGTCAAAGAAAGCTAACACTGGAATTGTCAAAGAAAGCTAACACTGGAATTGTCAAAGAAAGCTAACACTGGAAATGTCATAGAAAGCTAACACTGGAATTGTCAAAGAAAGGTAACACTGGAAATGTCATAGAAAGGTAACCATTGAAATTTCGAAGAAAAGTAACACAATAAATCTGCGAAAAGTTGAATTTGGACATGACACTAAGTAGACAAAAAACTCGAACATCTCAAATGTTACATATTATTTATTGTTTAAGTGTTTTAATTGTAAATAAATGTTTTGATTTATTAAGTTATTGAGTGTTTAAACGCCTAAAGCCACGCCATGATAATTGAAACAAAAATGACTTGTTTGTCAAATTTTAACTTGCCTTCTCGGATTGAGAGAAAAAATATCAATAAACTTTTGATTTCTTGATTTCTTCTGCCCCAAAGCAGCAGCATTATTTTCTGACAAAATCGGTATTCTCATTATTAAGGATGTTTGACATTTTAAGATAACATTTTGGCAATGGTGATTACCTCCACCTATCACGGCGATAGTCTCCCCTTATCCCAACACTAGTCCCCCCCAGCCCTTTATCACAGCGACCCGTACACGAACTGGACGGTGATGACCACCAGGACCAAGATCCCCAGGTACACGAGGACGTGGGACGCGTAGTAGCAGGCTTTTTGGATGATCTTGGGGGCCGCCACGTAGTCGACGAACCTGTGGGACATGCAGCACGTCTGGTTGAGCAGGAACAGGAAGCCAACGCACAGGATGTAGATGAGGGCAGACGGGAAGATCATCAGGGCGAACAGGAGCTCAAGTGCCCTGGGGAAATAGGACGAGCTTAGTGTCGGATTGACATGGGAACACGCTCTTACTAGGCTTATACTCTGGGTGGTTTGCGCTGGCTAGTGTTATAGTTAGAGATTTTCAAGGTATAAATACTGGACAGAGGCTTAGCGAGGGAGGGGCAGGCGGGCGGACAGATGTCCCCGGGCGCAAGCTAGTTAGGGGCGCCAAAATGTGCTTTGATATTATACTATTGGTAAAAATAATGGGTTTGATAGTTGAAAAAAAAGAAAAGGGGGCGCTTTAAAATGGATCTTGTACCCGGGCGCGAATCTTGTCCCCGGGCGCCAAACACCCTCGCTACGCCTCTGATACTGGACAGAAATTCGTTGGGAAGTCGGAGGGAATGAATTACCAGCGAGCCCGCCATTTCTTGCATTTTTTTTTTTTTTTTACAAACCACCAGTGTGGACAGCCAGTAATTATTCTGGTGTTGGCAATCGGGTATAATTCTGGGTTGGGGAGTCAAGTGAAACTCCAGTGTGGACAGTCAGATGTAATTCCGGTGTGGACATCAGGTATAACTCTTGTGAGGGGTCAGGTGGAAAAGTTGCCGGGTATCATAAGTAATGAGATTATACTGAATACCAAGAGAAAAGCTGACAGTCCCCACCATAATCCATAAACATATATTTTTAACGTAAATCGTATTGCGTGCTTAACTTGAATTAAATTAATTACAATTTATATCATATGTACTGTTGTACTTACCTTAGGGTATGTGTACTATTGTACATATCTTCCTAAATATGTACTGTTGTACTCGCCGTAGTGCGTGTGTACTGTTGTACCTACCTTAGTACATATGTACCGCTGTACTCATCTTAATACATATTTACCTTTGTACTCACCTTAGTACATATGTACTGTTGTACTCACATTAGTGAGCATGCTCCGATGTACTCATCTTAGTACATGTGTACTGTTGTAATCACATGAGCACATATGTACTGGTGTACTCACCTTAGTACATATGTACTGTTGTACTCACCTTAGTGCATATGTAACATTTTACTCACCATAGTGCGTGTGTACTTTTGTACTCACCTTAGTGCATGTGTACTTTTGTACTCACATTAGTACATATTACTGTTGTACTGACCTCAGTGCATGTGTACTGCTTTGCTCACCTTAGTGCATAATAATATGTATTGATGCACTCACATCAGTACATATGTACCGTTGTACTCACCTCAGTACATATGTACTAATAACCAAATGAAACTTCAGCTTCTCCTCCAGCATTTCCCTGATGACGGCAAAGGTCATGGGCACGACCACAAGCATCGTAAGCACAAGTGGGATCAACTCTACGGTAATCGACATGGTGCTGGGGCCCCTTGTAGTTTCAATTCACTCTGTTATTCTGTTTCGGAAAATATGAAAATAAAATTATTTTCTTTGAGCGTTAAGCTTGCTGGGCGGAAAGAAAAGGGAAGGGAAGGGGGGTCTATGCAGTGACGTAGCGAGGGTGTTTTGCGCCCGGGGACAAGATTCGCGCCCGGGGACAAGATCCATTTTTAGCGCCCCTTTTTCTTTTTTTCAACTCTCAAACCCATTATTTTCATCAATAAAATAATATCAAAGCACATTTTGGCGCCCCTAACTAGCTGGCGCCCGGGGACATCTGTTCCCCCCTGCCCCCACCACGCTACGCCTCTGAACCGTGTGGTAACCCTGGTCTCGGCAGTCTAGAAACAACTTCCGTGTCACCCTGGATGCGCTACTTGTAATAACATGGATAATGGATAAACACAATGAAACGCTTCGTGACCATTGTCCTGCTGAGACCCGTGGGTTAAACACATGCATAAAACGTCGACAAACACATTTCATTTAGAAACTATTCATATTTTAACATCAAATATGTTATTTTAT